CGCCTCTACACAAAAGGGGATGTTTTATTTTGTAGTCCCCAAAATAAAATGGGTTCTGAAAAAACTTTCAAAAGCCAAAGACAGGTAACCAAAATAAGAAGAGACACCAAACAAATGACTACTTGTGTGAATCCATAAAGCAAGGGCCACTGAAAAGAACCCCAGGGATTTATTTTAGGTGATTAGAAGAAGAAAGGCAAGTAAGCAAGTGTCTACTATATGCCAGGCAGTGAAGGCAAGAAATCTCAAATCTAAAAGTTGTGAGAATTCAGATAAACCAACAAACAAAAAGCAGAAACAGACCCATAAATACAGGTAACAAATTGATGGTTGCCAAAGGGGAGCAGGGTGGGGGAAATAGGCAAAATGGGTGAAGGAGAGTAGGAGATACAGGTTTGCAGCTCTGGAATGAGTAAGTCACCAGAATAAAAGGAACAGTGTAAAGAATACAGGGGAGGAAAAAAAAAAGATTGTGAGAATTAACTGTTCACAAAAGACACCACAGACCACACTCCATTTTCTGTGTATGAACATTCCATGTAAGTGTCCTAACCTAAACTGAAGTGTGAGTAGATAAAAAGTATCACTGTAGTGATCATACTCAATCAACACCAGAAAACACATGAGGGGCTTTTGCTTATGGAAATTCCCACATAGTGGGCTGAATACTTCTGTATGAATTTAAATAATGATTTATAAACAAAATATTCAGGTCCTTAGCAGTCTCTGTAAGGTACTGATTCAAGGCCCACCATACAGCTCCAATATAGCTCTTGAGCTATATCTCATCTGTATCACTCAAAAGTACCCCATCCTTCTCATCAAACTGGAAATATTTTACCAAGGACCACTTGCTTATTTTACTTTCTTTTTTGAGACCCCTCCCCAATTACTGTCAAAATAGTACAAATCAATTTCACGGCCCCACTGCCCCCTATTCATCTGTATAGCTTTACATCCTGACTCTCCAGGTTTTAAACGCTATTAATTACACATAAAAATAATTAAATCAAAAATTATATACCACTTCATAACCATATAATACTTCACCATTTCAAAGTCTTTTCTCCCATATTAACTTATAACCTCCTTAAAGATAGTGGCTCTATCAGTCATAAAAATCCCTAAAGGATCAATATTTCCTAAAAGCAAATATTTTCATTGAATTCGAATATTACATAATCTCCTGCTACTAACATGCGCTCCAGTTATACTCCCAACTAGAAAGGAACCAAAACAGAAGAGGTAAAAGAGGTTCAATTTAAAGACATAACTGCCAATGTTTCATAAAGCATATGGTTTATTTTATAATGGAAAAAACAAACTCTCCCCACAAATTAAACACCCATACACAGTTATCTGATAAACCTCCATAGCGTACTCGAAAATCTGCAGTACAGAAATGGTAATCGTTACATTCTATTAAACTAAAGCTCTATCTTTAGTTATAAAATACGTAACTCCACTTAATTTTTCCTTTATGTATTTCACTATATCATGTACCTATGGACATCAAATAGTATACAGACTCAAAAAGCTAAACAGACAGAACCACCTGGGTGGCTCAGTCAGTTAAGCATCAGACTTCAACTCATGATCTCCTAGTTGATGAGCTCAAGCCCCACACGGGGCTCTGTGCTATCAGCACAGAACCTGCTTTGGATCTTGTTTCCCTCTCTGACCCTTGCTTGTGCCACCTCTTAATAAATAAACATTAAAAACAACAACAACAACAAATAGACAACTCTGGTTTCAAAAATCCAGCTTCTCACAATGCCAGACATACCAGTTTCTGACTTTTCTATCTTCACAGCACTCTTCCTATTTTTTGGTCTGTGACAATGGAGGATAAAAGTATTTGTACTTTTGAGAACGTTAATCTGTCTACATTCTACCAAAAATGGAAGCTATTTTTAAGATACAGTTTCATCGTTAGAGAATTGTAGAAAGATGACAAGTTTGGGCACTGTAAGATACCCATTGTAAATCTGTTAAATAAAGTCCTAAGATTCCAAAGTACAGAAGCAAAATCTTGTTTTCTCTTTACCTGAATGCTTCCTCTTGTTTGAACTGATCTTTGACTCCAATGTCAAATTAGTCATGCCATTTTGGAGTATTAAAGTGTATAATAATTATACATTTAATTTTTAAAACAAGTCATTCTGATCTCTATCTTGATTGGTACAACTGGAAGATCATATTCCAAAACAAAGTCAAGAAAAGGACATACTTTGGCTAGTGGCAATGATAAAACTACTCATTTGCCTAATCATTCATAAATCTTAATTGACACTAGAGTGAATGAAGAGGAAGACTATCAACCAGTGCTATATGAATGATTTCTGCTAAAGGTATGCTTCTAGCAAAGATGGGCTTGTTCTGTTGCCATATGACACTAGTCTATTCAGCCACCTGTAACACTTCCTGTCAGTATGTGCAAAGTATCACGTGTGGCCATGACTGACTCAACAGTCGGTTTCCAGACTGACAAACTAACACGAAAAGAAACCAACAAGAATTGCTTTTTTTTTTTTTTTACCCTTTATTTTTGAGAGAGACAGAGACAGACAGACAGACAGACAAGAGCGTGAACAGGAAGGGGAGAAAAAGAGGGAGACACAGAATCTGAACCAGGCTCCAGGCTCTGAGCTGTCAGCACAGAGCCCCACGCGGGGTTCCAACTCACGACCGCGAGATCACGACCTGAACCTGACCTGAACCGAAGTCAGACGCTCAACTGACTGAGCCACCCAGGCACCCCAAGAATTGTTTTAAATCCCACTTGTTCAAAAGTCTAAATCTAAGAAAAACAAAATCAGACAAGTAATGGTATAGAAAGACAAATAATTTTTTAAAAAACCAAAATAATTCACATGAACCATAAGGAATCTGCCTACATTTGAAGATGTTTAGAAAAATAAATCTCCATTTAAACAAAGAGGAAGATGAAGTTCCATTTGTCAGTTAACTGGAATCTGTCACCTTTCTGAAGAGGAGACAGAATAACCCACCACAAACTTATGAAAATTTATGATTGGCAAACAAGGTTCTTTACTTTTTAACAAAACAACTATGGCAACCCCACAGATAAATCAAGTTCTGCTATGGGGTACTGTCTGTCCTTCTCTGTTCCCTCTTCTACAAAAAAAGTTAGGTATTTCCAACATCCTAACCAACTGTTACTCTGTGTAACCAACTACATCTCACAGTATCCTCTACCTAGGCATAAAGTTCTGAGACTTGGTTACAGAGCCTAGCTTCACAGAAAGCTAGCACCGTCCCCCCAACAAGCACACCACAGCCATGAAACAGAACACATAAAAGAAGATGGACAATATTAATAACCCACATACATATTCCATAAATATATAACCCATTCTGCCTCATATCTGTCAAATGCAGTCAAGTGACCCCAGCAGGTGGCTGCAACTCTGCTTCTCCATTTATTTAGAATTAAAAGTTACAAGTTATTCTTTTCCAAAAGCTCTAGGACTATTTGTGAGCACTTTATTTAGTCCTCTAAAGGGATGCTTTTTTATACTTTACATATGCTGACCACAACACTGAAAAATAATGGGAAATCTACCATCTAAGGCTGTCAAATGTCAAATTCAAGCTCATTTAATCATCTAATTTACTAGATTCGAAAACAAAAACTACTTCACACATTTCAATGAAAGTACAAAACTAAGAATGTCAATTACAGATAATTTAATTACTATCAATTTACTTAAACTAGTCAGTTGATAGTACTTAAAGCACTCACAAACCCTAAGTGGTAAAGGACAAGTAAAGCTGTACTTTTCAATTTTTTAAAACTATTTAACATCTCAATTCAAGAGTCAGGCATTAACTCTTACACACAAATGTTCTCAACAGACACAGGATTTGGGAAGATATATTAAACAGAGTAAGAGGTGTACCACCCCTCATCCAAAAGACTTTTCCATCCTCTTAAAATGTTACATTCTAACATCTGAACAAATTATTATATCCAGCACTACTGAAGTTACATATAACCAGGAGGAAGGAAGTCATCCCAACTGTCTTAACACTTATTTCGCCAGTTTCAGGACAATCATAATTCAAGTGCGCTTCAAAGTATGAAAACTCCATGAATCAACTAACCCTAAAACCTTATATACATGTAGGGAGTTCTTTTAGGCACTCACACCTAAATCAGGCACAAGTGCCTCGTGATTAACCAGAAAGACACAAAAACTGTACATATATGTAAAAAGGTGATGCTCCTAATATGTTCAATTCCAAAAAGGCCCCAAAGCAGTCTGAGATCAAATGCCCTCCATGCAAGATAAAATTCTCTACTCCTCTTAGTGCCTGCTCAACAGTCCAAGTATGAATTGCTCTCCACCAGGGTAACTGCCCCTGCGCTTGGGGAAAACTTCATTTCCCAGGACCGGGGTGGGTCAGCCTCATTAACAAAGTCACAATCTCGTTTCATGCCCCACAACTGCCCTGCCTAAAGTCACAATAAAGCCTTGGAGTGTTTGGGGGTTTTGTTTTTTGAAATATTAACACGTGGGGGGCTCACTGAAGAGAATCACAGTTAAGAAGCTCTTTTACGTGGGTGCTGAGAGTGTAAGGGACCAAGGGAGTGAGTGGGTAACACAGAGGGTCCTGGACTCCCAGGATTCCCCAACTCCAATTCCAACTTGGTGGGTGGTAACCAGAGTCCCCCACCACCACCATGCCCCTTTCTTCACCCCCCTTGACCCAACTCCTAGGCCAGTGCCTTCGTTGGGCGCCCTGGTCTCAGCTCCAGCCCTGGGGCTGAAATGCAGTGGCAGGGAGACATTTAGGCCTCGCCTCCCAGCGGCCTTCCTCCCCGAGCAGGGGCGGGAGGGGACCCAGGAAGCCGCGCTCGGTTCCTGGGGGGTGGAGGGCCTAGGCCGCGCCTCCCAGCCGGATGGCCCTAGGCCTCGGCCCGCCCGAGGCGGGGCCCGGGGTCGGGGCGGCGGGCTAGGCGCCGGCTCACCCACCTGGGTTGCCAGTCATTCCAGCTCCGTGGGTACTTGGTGCCGCCGCCGCCGCCGCTGCTCAGCCGAGACCCCGGGGCTCTGCGGCTCATTACCTTCCCCGACACGACATGGCCAAGCGCCGCCGCCCAAAGAAGCGCGAGTCGCCGCCCGAACCGACCGCCGCCGACACTCCGCTCTCGCCTGGGGTTGAGGAGGAAGCCGAAGAGAAGAAGAAGGAGGAGGAGGAGGAGGAGGCGGCGGAGGGCGGGGGAGGCGGACGGCCGTTCCGGGTTCCGCCTGAGCCCGCAGCGCAGGACGAGGAGGCGGGAGCAACGCCGCGAGGGGGAGGCGGAGGAAGGGGAGGCGACGTTTCTTCCAGGGCCGAGCGCGGCCCGCGACGCCGGGACCCAGGAGGAAGAGGACGACGAGGAGGAGGCGGTGGCGGCGGCTGCTCACGCTCACACAGCCACGGCTTCCCCGCCTCCCGGCTCCGCCCGCCGCGCCGCCGCTGCCGCACGGCATGCTGGGAGCGAGGGGCGGTGTCGGCGCCCGCCGGGCCAGGAGAGAGGGGCGGGGCCGGCTACAGGGGGCGGAGCCGGGCGGGCTCAGCGAGCGGATCGCCCTCCCGCGCTCCGGGCTAGCTTCCACTCCCTGCGGACCGTGCCAAGGTCCCAGCCCCGCCGCGGGGGATCATGGGAGAGGGGAATCTCCGCCACCACCCTCAAACACACACCCTCCCAAACACTCTCCAGAAAGCGTTAGACCCCCCGAGGGCTGGGCAGTCAGGTGTAAACAGGCATCCAATCAAGGACCCGGGGTGTCTCCGCGCGCGCACACGCACACACTGGCGGGCGTGCCCTTAGGCTCACGTGGGCGCACTTTCCCCACCCTATTCGGTAAAAAGTAAAAATAAAGAGCGGGTGGATAGTCCCCTACCCAGCCCCCTCCGGAAATGTGCCCATGGAGTCCTTTCACCTTGACCATCTCTTCCCGGTGTAAAAAACTAAACTAAGTAGAGGGAGAAAAGGGAATCCCCTTCCCCCCCTGCCCGCCCCCCTCGCAATGCCTGTCCCCTGCAATGTGAACTGTGCTTTCAAATCCTCTCACTGTGTAACACTTGCCCACCTTCCCCACCAGAAAAACCTGGCTGGTAGGGAGAGGGTTACACACCTGAGCACTTTCCCCTGCCCACAGTCCCCCCGGAGAGATTTCACGAAAGCATCTGACACATGCTGTGGGTGCAGATGCATAGAGAAAAGCCGAACAAGATGCACATCAAACAGGTTACAGGGGAATTACCTTTGGGGACGGTAGTCAAAAGGGTCTTCACATTTACACAGAGGGTCTTAGCCTGTTTTATGTTGCAAGAAGTCGGTTTTTTTTTTTTAATTTTTTTTTCAACATTTATTTATTTTTGGACAGAGAGAGACAGAGCATGAACGGGGGAGGGGCAGAGAGAGAGGGAGACACAGAATCGGAAACAGGCTCCAGGCTCTGAGCCATCAGCCCAGAGCCCGACGCGGGGCTCGAACTCACGGACTGCGAGATCGTGACCTGGCTGAAGTCGGACGCTTAACCGACTGCGCCACCCAGGCGCCCCTGAAGAAGTCGGTTTTTACATACTACCTGTGTAATTAAAAATGGTTACCTAAAGTTCTTGAAGATCATAAGACTTAGGTATTTCCACACCCACACCTCCTCAACCTTGGGCTCCTTGCTTATGCCCACCAACCCCTCACTAAGGTATGATCCTGCCAGCTCTAAAAGATGGAAAATTCATTGGGATTCTCTCTTACCTTCTGCCTCTGCCCCCCACTCCCCCCTCCACCCCGTGCATGTGTGCTCTCTCTCTCTCTCAAAATAACTAAATTTGAAAGACAGAGAGAGAGAGAGAGAGAGAGAGGAAGAAGGAAGGAAGGAGGGGAGGAAGGGAGGAAGGGAGGGAGAAACCTCTGAACCTCGGAACTGGGGCTGATACTTGACTCAACACAGAAATTCCCACTAGGTCAGACCCAAGCCAAGGTCACGAAGTGTGTTAAAAAAAAAAAATGAACAAGACCTACATCAAGAGGGATATAGCTCAGGTACACACTCCATCCCAAAATTTGCCCCTACCAGCCTACCTCCCTCTTGCTGACAAGAGGATATGATGCAGTGTTCTACCTGTTTGGAATAAGAGGCCCTATGAGAGGTGTCCTTTCTTCCCTGTTTATCCTTCCCTCTTTCCTATTCTCCTGAGAGAAAAAGTACCTCTTCAATAAGGTCCCAAGATTATGGTCCCCTCACTCAGTATGGTCGTCTCTGGGAGACTATTATTCTTGCCACAAGGTATTTGGGTTCTATTTGTTTGTAATTACTGTTTAATTACATAAGCAATAATGAATACATTGTCCTCATATGACTTTTGAATAGTATACAGCCTAATTCTGATTTATTCTTTCGTTCAACATTCAGCAAAATTTATTGAGCATCTACTAACTAGGTATTTGGGGTCAGGACAGTAATCAAGACTCCATCTCTGTCCTAAAGGAACTCCAGGAGTAGGAGTCAGAAAGATACATCTATTCTTAGAAATGACTGAAATAGTTATTTTTGCTCAATTTCCTCTCTCTCCAGACCTATCAATCTGACCAGAAAGGCCCCTCTCCCAAAGTCTTTTCTTAATTGTAAGTTCTGAGTTTCCTTGGACCTGCTTTCCTCAGTTCTTGTACTTTTTTTTTTAATTTTTTTTAATGTTTATTTATTTTTGAGAGAGAGACAAAGTGTGAGTGGGGGAGGAGCAGAGAGAGAGGGAGACACAGAATCTGAAGCAGGCTGCAGGCTCTGAGCTGTCAGTACAGAGCCCGATGCGGGGCTCGAGCTCATGAACGGTGAGATCCTGACCTGAGCTGAAGTCGGACGCTTACCGATTGAGCCACCCACGTGCCCCCAGTTCTTGTACTTTTTATGCTCCAGGTGAGTTAGTGCTCTCCTCCCCTCCGATCCATGAGCAAATGGCTGATGGGGCCAATTAATCATTTTTACTTCCTTAAATAGTTTATTGTAACAACGGTACAGTAACCAAATTATGTTAGATTCCAAAATGATTTGCAGCACAATAACTAGAACCTTAGACCCCTAGGAAAAATGTCAGGGCCCTTTAAACTTTTCAAATTACAGAACAACAGCAGAGTAATTCGAGGATGGGCTCTGGGTTCAGATTCCAACTCCTCTGCTTGAAATTGAGGGAGTATCAACAAGGTCCTGACTGTCACAGTGCCCCAGTGTCTCATCTCTAAAATAGAGATAATAGTACTGACTTCCTAAGACTATTGAGAGAATTAATTGAAATCTCACAGGTAAAGGGCTTGGCACGGTGCCTGCCGCACAGTTAACAATCAATAAATGTTAGCTAGAAATCAGATCTACTGATTTCTACAACTTCTCTGAGGCACATGGCTATGTGGATAATATTTGATCAATGAAGAAGGAGAAAAAAGGAAGTAGCTGTCCTAGGTTGCCCCAGTCGCTCCATCAACTGTTTCTTGTTTGTCATTTTTTTTTTCTACTTCTCCTATAGAAATAATTAACCCTCAAAAGCACTCAGTGTTGGCAAAGGGGTGGTGTGAGGACACAGACGGTCGGGGTAAGTGTCATTTGGCAGCAACTTCCTGGAGAGCAATTTAAGAGTATGTGTACAAAGATTTAAAATTGTGGGGCGCCTGGGTGGCGCAGTCGGTTAAGCGTCTGACTTCAGCTAGGTCACGATCTCGCAGTCCGTGAGTTCGAGCCCCGCGTCAGGCTCTGGGTTGATGGCTCAGAGCCTGGAGCCTGTTTCCGATTCTGTGTCTCCCTCTCTCTCTGCCCCTCCCCCGTTCATACTCTGTCTCTCTCTGTCCCAAAAATAAATAAACGTTGAAAAAAAAATTAAAAAAAATAAATAAATAAAATTGTTAATACCTTTCCCCCAGTAATTCCTCTTCTGGGAATCTATCTTCAGGAAATTTCCCATGCTGCAGCTAAAGTGGTTTCTTTCTTTAAGATTTCATTTTTTTTTTAATTTTTTTCAACGTTTTTTATTTATTTTTGGGACAGAGAGAGACAGAGCATGAACGGGGGAGGGGCAGAGAGAGAGGGAGACACAGAATCAGAAACAGGCTCCAGGCTCCGAGCCATCAGCCCAGAGCCTGACGCGGGGCTCGAACTCATGGACCGCGAGATGGTGACCTGGCTGAAGTCGGATGCTTAACCGACTGCGCCACCCAGGCGCCCCTAAGATTTCATTTTTAAGTAATCCCTACACACGACATGGGGCCTGAATTTACAACCCCAAGATCAGGAGTCGCATGCTCTACCAACTGAGCCAGCCAGGTGTTCCAGCGATTTTTTTTTTTTTTTTTTTGGTTTATTTATTTTGAGAGAGAGAGAGAACACACTCATGCGAGAGAGAGCAAGGGAGGGGCAAAGACAGAGGAAGAGAGAATCCCAAGCAGGCTTGGACTCTGGGCTCAATCTCACGAACTATGAGATCCCAACCTGAACCGAAATCAAGGGTCAGATGCTTAACCAACTGAGCCATCCAGGTGCCCCCTCCAGTGATTTTCTTTTTAAATAAAAATCAGATCATTTCACCATCCTACTTAAAATCCATTAATGGCTTCCTATACTTCTTAAGATAAAAACTATGAGCCTACAAGAGTCTGTAAAAGCTGACTTCTCCTACATTGCAAACACCCTACAGCAGCTCATACCTGGAACAAGATCCTAATGGTGGGTATCAATTTTGTCTTCATAGTAAACTCCCCACACCTAGGCTGCACCCTGGACCAATTAAATTAGAATCTCTCAGTGTCAGCCCAGGCATCAGTATTTTTTTAGAGTAATCTCTGTGCCTGATGTGGGGCTCAAATTCACAACCTTCAGATCAAGAGTTGTATGCTCTACCAACTGAGCCACCCGAGGGTCCCCAGGACTCAGTATTTTTTCTTTTTTTGAGGCTACCGCAGGGGATTCTAATGTGCAACCAAGACTAAGAAACACCACTTTCGAGCCCTGACAAAGTTATTGGTGTCCCCCTACACCCAACCTTGCCTCCCAGCAGATGTGAGCTATAAAAAACAATTTTCTTTTTTTTATGGGAAATTTTAAGCATTTCAAGTTTTTTTTTTTAAGTTTATTTATTTATTTTGAGAGAGGGGGAGGGAGAACTTCAAGCAGGCTCCCTACTGTCAGCACAGAGCCTTATGTTGGGCTCGATCCCATGAACTGAGAGATCATGACCTGAGCTGAGATCAAGAGTCAGATACTTAACCACCTGAGCCAGCCAGGTGCTGCTATAAAAACAATTCTAAACCACTGGAGGAAAAGAAGTGAAAGCCCAGTTTTTCCCATGGCAACTACTTGGATATTTCAAAAAAAATAGATCAAATGTGATCAACTCTCAAACTTTCAAAAAATGCCATCTTGTTTCTTTCGGTGGCTAAGCTTCATGGTTCCATTAGCACTTCTCCCC